ACAGCATGACACATAAACTACCAGATGTTTAGAGTCATAGATTTGGCTTTAAATCACTTTAATTGCAGCTTAACCAACAGATGACAGAATGGATATAGGGTCAAATCACAATTTTAGACAGCACCCCACAATTTTTGCACTCGTAACACCATTTTTGATGGTTTTCCTTCATTCTTTCCCATCTCGTCAATCGCTCATTCCCTTCTTCAATTTTCTACAGGGTTCAGTTTTCTAGTTCTACAGCATCTTGTGTCAGTGGATAATTAAATCTGCAGGATCACTTTGGTGCAGCGTCTGTTACACTCTTAATAAGCAGGGCTGTCTTAAAGGGATTACATTAGTTGTCATCAAGYGCTGATCGAAGAATGTTCACTGGTCAATGCATGGTGAACCTGAATGTTGAGCTGTGCTTGCTTTGGATTCACAGGCATCTTTACACAAGGACATTGTGTTTTATCTGCCTGTCCTGAGGCAGGATGTCTGTTCTTATGTCTGTCTGTGGACAACTTCTTGTCTTAGTTCTAACTTTCAAACTGCACAGCTGGAGACATCAAGCCTCAAACACAATCACTACACTTCCCTAGGTCATGGGGGTTAAAGTTTAAGGTTACCTTGTGCTCTTACTCTGCAATAATGTAACGTAGGAATGTCAAACTGCATAGATTACTGATGGTCATATACTGTTAACAGGACACCTGTTTTCTATTTCAGATTTTGCTTCATTAATTTTGTTGCAAAAACCATTTTCCTGGGTGACTGCTGAAACGGTTCAGTGACTGCATTCGGCCTTCTGGCTTTGTATTTATTGGTTCATGGAAAATTTATTCAACAAATAAAAAAATAATAATCTGTGAAGTATTCTCAAGGATCACATTTTATCTTCTTCACAGTAAAATAAAAAACACAGGAAAGAAAACAAAGAYGTTCTTATTTCAAAGTGTGAAAGCAAACGATCATACTGGTTTTAACATCATCGACTTTACACACTGGGATTTCAGACAAGTTCTGCATTTTTGTTTGTTATCTTACTTTATTTACATGGAAACAAATAGRTATGTGTAAAATATGTATCTCCTTTTTTCAAAATCGTTATATTATTAAATGCAATGCATGACATGTTTTCTGATTTGGATAAAAAGAAAGAAAATTGAGGGAAGGAAATTTTGGGGGCTAGTAGAACACTTTGTTAAAATATAAATAAAGTCATGTCAGGGTTTTCAAACTAAATAGTGCAAATGTACTGCACTATTGATAAGGCCTTTATTAAAACTTAATAGATGTGGCTGGCTCAGACCAATCTCTGAAGCGTTTGTGTTGCCAAAGATTCTCTTTTTTTAAACCCCCTGCTCGTTTTTCCTCCACCCTGCAACAGATTGGATATTCTGCCTTCCTGTTTTGCAGCTTTTCCCCTTTTCTTTTCATCCCTCTTTGCAAGACCTTTATTGTTTGTCGCCATATAATGTCTAAAAGCCAGTATTCTGAGGCCTATTGTGTAAAGCATCGGTGTGCGATGCCGAACTAATGGCTTTTAAGACGTCAAAGGGAAATGCAGTGCACAGAAAAAGGAAACTCCATGGCCTGTGTGGGTTTCATCTAAAATGGGCTCCTGTGCACTCTGCACATGGACAGCCACCATGCATTCAGTAGAACACCACTGTCTCCCTCTCTCAGAGCACGGTGAACAGCAGCAGGCAGAGAGTGGATGCATAATAAATATGTAGATGTTCAAACTGCTTTGTGAATTTGATGTTCTTACTTGTAGTTACTCTTGACTGGGACACTTTTAGGTGTGCACAAAAAGTGAGTTTTTTTTAATATAACAGTGATGTGGATCTAATCTTGTTTATTTTACTTGTGCTTACAAACTAAGGCTGGTCAGCCTTGCAGATGAGCAAATGCATTGGGCATATTTTGTAGCAACACATGGTCTGTCAATTTATGCTACACTTTTTTTCCTTTTTTTTTTTTACTCTGGTAATCTTTTACAGGGCAAATAAAGAATTGTAAGAGTTTTATCAGCACTGCAGTGCTCCTTCTGAAGGTTTCCTCTCAGGAAATAGAGGAGGAAGTGAAGGGTTGTGCACCGTCGGTTATCAGATATACAGTAGTTGCTCTGGGATATTACTCCCTGATAGATTCTGAATGAGACATCTGCCAGAATGCTTCTCGCAACTGTATCTAGAGAGTCACCACTGACAAAAGTGCTTCTCAGAAAAGCTGACACCACTTTATTCCAAGATTGGACATTTTACAAGTTGCAATTGTTCTGGGTCTTTTTCTGTGAAACGTCCTGAAATTGCATACAACCATAYGCCACATGGCCCGCCCCATCACACCCCGGCCGTTCACACTAATGTGGACAGTAATGCAGTTTAGGTGCACAAGCAACACACACAAAAGACCAAACTAGTAAATTCATAACACTTGAGCTGACACATCTGACGTGCTAAAATGAAGCAGAAGGACCAGTAATGTCAGTTCATGGAGACGAAGGGAACTGAAAAAAAAAACAAACAAAAAAAACCCTGCAGATTCTGTGGGAAAACTAAGAGACACTGTTGTCTCAGTCCAAAACCCTGACAGCCYCTCTGTCGACGATTTGTCTTCATAGATGTGACAGTTTTTAATTATTTCCAGGGGAGGCTGAATGATTTGTATTTCAGTCAATGAGTTTTAGGGCTTTTCTTCATCTTGTGTCGATGATTTCACTAAGTGCCTCTCATGTGCGTTATCTGCATATGAAAAACCATAACCATATTTTAAGCTGAGTCGATGTTTACTGATTCTCAGACATTGGTTCTCTTATGATCATTACAGGAGTATAAAGTAACAATATTATTACAATTCTATTTGCCTGACAATGTTTTATTGTAGAATCTTCCTCTTCTTTTTAGAAGTCCTTTAAGTCCACAGTGTGCTAAAAAAAAATCCTTTTGAAAATCACCTACAGGCTTTGAAGCCATGCTTCTTGCCCCATTCCATGTTTTTTCTTTTTTATTTTGTTCCCTTGTACTRTGAATTCTTTCCTGAAGCTCTTTTGTCTTTCTCTCTTCCCCATTATTTCCCAGGACACTAAAGCTGTAAATAGAAATACCTTTCCCCATGGCAAAGTACTATCTTCATATATTTCCCCTCCCTGATCAAGCCTTTCATCCCTGACTATGTAACTCTTAGTTCCTAACTTGACAGTAAACTAAAGAGACAGATAGATTCAAGTTAYCATGTAAATAACAGATTCCCCTTTACATGTAAAACACATCCTTAAGTTTCACCGCATCTATACTTTTATGAATTTCATGTTTTCATTTTTTTTTGATAATTTGTAATGTGGTTGATGATTTAAAGGGGCAATATCATGTAAAATTAACTTTGAGTTTTATATCATGTTATAATTTTATACTCTCATAAAAAAATAAAATAAAATAAAAT